AACACATCCATTAGAGTCTTGGCTTGAATTCATTGGGAAGAAAAGCATGATTAATGCACAACCCTTGATTTTCTCTTGGCAGCAGCAACGTCCCACAGCAACAAGTTGGTCTCTACCTACTCCAAGAGTGGATAAACAAAAAGAAAGAAGCTCCTCCAATTTTACCTGGGAAGCCAGACAATGGGTGAAGTGGAAGAGAATCAAACTCCTTGACCTTTTTGTCTCCATAGATGGCTACAAAGTAGGAGGAGGAGGGTTGAAATCGTGGAGAAAAGACTATGAAATAATTATTTGACATGGCCCGGAGGAAGGGGAAGAAAGGATGTAGGGAGGCTTCCTGGTAGGAGGACATCACCCGCCTGCTTCTATGGCTTCGACATGAATTCATATCCTGCTCACATTTCTTTGCAGAGCTCTCCAGGCCCCCAGCACCATGGAGTCATTGCCTATATATAAAATATATCATAGTTGTTGTGTCCTTAATCTTCCCTTTGCTTCCTCCAAGAGAATAATAATAAAGAGCATCTTACATATAACTTATCATTGAAGCAGAACCAGAGGGCTGAGACTGGACTGTTTGTCATCCCTCCTTGGAGGAGGTGGTGTTGTTAGGAGGGGATGGGTTTCCATCCAAACACTGGCAGTTATCATCATAGAGAGTTCTAAAGAAGGGGCACTTGAAGAATCCAAGGAGAGTGTCAGAAAAAGATAAATGTTGAGCCAGCCTTGAAAGATGGAAGACTTGAATAAAGGCAAGGAGGAAGAGAGGAAGGGCAGTTTAAAGTGCAGAGAGGCAATGCACAGATGCCTAGAAAACCAGGCTGACTGGCAGGACCTGCATGTGATGAGGACTGCCTGGTGGTGCTGGCCTTTCCTCATCAGAGTCTACAGCGTGAGAAATTATTATTAGATCCCATTTTCTCTTACAGGCAGCGATTGAGACACAAGAGCCACTAAAATAACTTCTCCACATGTACAGCAACTTCAAGCAGAAAACAGAAATGCTCAGATTTTTGCAGGTACCATTTTTCATAATGCCTCAAACCATTAGAGAAAAAACTTATAAGTGTGGGAAATGGTTCAGAAATGTGTGCATGGACTTGTACCCCAATATTTTATAGCAACGCACTCTCAACAATAGCCAAATTATGGAAAAGAGCCTATCCATCAACTGATGAATGGATAAAAGAAATTGTGGTTTATATACACAATGGAGTACCTAAAACATTATGGCAATGAGAAAAACGAAATATAATGCCCTTCTAGCAATGTGGATGGAGCTGGAAGTGTGATGCTAAATTAGAAATAAACCATACAAGAAAGACAGATACTATATGGTTTCACCTCTTATGATCCTGAAACAACTTTCATGCTCCCATGAGGGGAGGAGGAGGAAAGTAAAAAAAAAAGAGTTAAGTGGGAGAAACCCAAAAGCTTATAGAACTCTTAAAAACTGAGAGAACAAACTGAGGAGGGTTGATGGGGGGTGGGAGGAGGAGGGTGGAGTGGTAGGTACGTGCTATGGAGGAGGCACCTTTGGATACTAGGTGTTATGTAAACAATTTGACAATAAATTCATATATTGGAAAAAAATAAATAAATATCACCATCTGGAAAATGAATAAAAAATTGAAAAAAAAAAAAGAAAAAATAAAAATAAAAGTTGACACATTTTCAAAATTTTTTTTTTTTTTCATCATATTACATGTCCAGAGTGGAGTCTTAAAAAGAAAAGGGTTTTAGAATTGAGGCACTGGATAAAATGGAAGGACAGGACCCAGGCATTGGTCTTCTTTACCCACAGTCTAAGCCCAGTTGAGGACTTTTGCCAGCCTGATAGTAGGGAGGAAATTAGATGTGTGGGGCAGGGGTAGGGCAGGCTGAAGTCCTTACTCTGCATGAAGCCTCTGATCTTCCTGGAGCTTCTTGCTTCCCTATCTCCTCCCAGGGGCCCACCTCCTTCTGAAGAGTCCTGGTTCTCATGGTGAGGTGAGAGGATAACAGTCAATGAGTGATCCCTATGCCCAGCAGGCTCCGGTGACCAGATCCTGGGGCACTTGCCCAGCCTGGCTCCCTAGCCTGCCCCCTTGTTGCCCTCAGAGTCTAGGGATGGAATACTGCTGGTCTCATCTTATCTCCTCAGCAGGAGGAAAAGAGAAAGAAAGCTGTGTGGCAGCTCAATCAGGACCATCTCTGAGGCAAGCCATCAGAGAACTTCCAAAGACATGCAGAAGCCTCCCTTTACTCCAACAGGCCAAGTACAAGTGCTAGCTGGATCCCCTCCCAGGAAAAAGAGTGAGTATAGGGGGAGGGAGTGGTCAGTTTTTAAATCAGACCAAAGGGTATTCCAACAAGAAAAAGAGGAGAGGTCTTGCTGGGGCAGAAGGGGAGGGGAGGGGAAGCATACCCCCCCCCCCCCCCAGCAATCTTCCTTTTTCTTGTTGGAATACCTTGTCTGACTTTCTCCTAGTCTGACCACTCCCTCCCCTATACTCACTCTTTTCCTGGGGAGGGGATCCAGCTAGCAATTTGTACTTGGCCTGTTGGAGTAAAGGGGAGGCTTTCTGCATGTCTTTGAAGTTCTCTAGATGGCTTCTGCTCTCAGAGATCATTTGGTCCTGATTGAGCTGCCACAGTATTTTCTTCTTTTCCTCCTGCTGAGGATAAGATGAGCATCAGCCCTGATATTCATCCCTAGACTCCTGGAGGCAAATAAGGGGGCAGATCCCCCTTTTAGGACAGGCGGGGCAAGCCCCAGGATCTGGTCACCGGGAGCCCAAGTGTTAGGACTCAGCTGACTGTTATCCCCACCTCGCCATGAGAACCCACAGGACTTTCCAGAAGGAGTGGTGGGCCCTGGAGTGAGATAGGAAGTAAGAATGCCTATAGGAAGATCAGAGGCTTATGCAGAGTAAGGACTTGCCTGCCCTACCCTGCCCCACATCTAATTTCTCCTACCATTATCAGGCTGGCAAAAAGTCCTCTAACTCGGCTTAGACTGTGGCAGGTGCTGAAGACCAATGCCTGGTCCTGTCCTTCATGAAGTTATCCACAGTGCCTCAATTCTAAAACCCTTTCTTTTACTCCACTCTGACCATGCACACATTTCTTTTTTTTTTTTTTGGAAAA